TCAGTTCCAGGTAGATGCCACTGAGAAATCATTTCATTAATGAAGTTCTGGATTCTGCAGACAAGTAGAGGTTTAGTCGACGCTGAATTCGACGTTGAGATGCGTGAATATGCTACAGCGCTCGTGGTGTAGTTCAGGACGTCGTCGAGCAATGCAATTGTATGGTTGATGCTTGCGACGATGGATGAGAGCCCCATGAAATTTTTCATGTGCTGAATTTCTGAAAGTTTTCGCTGATGATTGCCTTCTGGTAATTGAGCAACCTTTACTGTGGTCCAAGGATATGGCCTTGACCCGCTGACGTTAAAAGGTCACATCTCCTTGTTGAGTTTTCTTGAATAGGTTTTCAACGTCACGTGAATACCTTTATTATAAATCAATGAAGGTATTCAAGTGACGTTGACATTACGGAAGGTCAACCTTTACTGTTGATTCTGGGCATTCCACTGGCGTTGATTTGGCTGGTGATATTTGCAATTGCACCACGTTTAGGTAATGAGTAAGGATTCGACTTTTGGCCGATATGGCCATCCGCCGTGCAGAGGTGATTTAATTCATTGATGATGGTCTTAGATGGACTTTCAATGGCTTGTGGGTATGATCTACGTTGCGTTTCTCGATGATTTCCAATATTGCTTATTAAGGCAATCTTCTGTTCGTTATGGTTATATATTCTCACTATTGTACAGGCAAGCACCGTATTAAGGCGATGATGTTCATCATTGATTCACTGTTAAAATATCTTAAATTATGCCACGATTATGATATTGTAGATGAATTTCGTTGGTCGATATACGATAACGATGAATTTCTGAGTGGGTAGTTGAAGATCATCAATTTGGTTGATCTGGTCTCCGATAATTTTCTCTGCGTCAGTGATGATGTCTATGGAGCCAGAGTTGCCCCTCAGGATGATGAAATTCCCGAGACTGGCGCCCTGCTCATGAACCGTGGCTAGACCGTGGTATCTTTCACCATTAGCTGATTGTCGATAATGGCACTGATGAGTTGAGATGCTGGATCACTGTTCGATTGTATGGTCGAAAGTGACGAAACTACCCATGCTCCAAAATGTTGTTCATGGCGATGATTTTCTGCTGCTGATGATGGCCATTGAAGACGATGATGGTGTCGAGGACCAGGATTGATTAATGTCTCTGAAATCCGGATGATGAGGACTTATGCATCCTTTATGAGTGCAGGATGTTGCAGCGATAATTCTCGCGGTTGCAAGGACAATCATCGTTGAGGTTGACAATGGAGACTGTTATACTTCTAACTGTCGTTGATCTCCATGATGACTTCTAAGATGCCCCATATTTGATTGGCGATTGTGTCAAGGGTGGTACACCTCTGATTGACGATAATCTCCACGTTGATCAAGGTGGTATATCTCTGATTGTTGATCACCTGTTGTCGCTCTGAGGAGATGAACTTTTTTGAGATGCTGCGATTTACGATGCTGTGTCAAGATGTGATGATGGACCAGTTGATTAGTAGATAAGTTACTTCCTGTTGATCTTCCTTCTGTTGATTGTCACGTGGTGAGACGCAGTCCAATCCACCGGAGTCGTAAATTCCTGATAATTTCGACCTAACTCTCCTGATTCGAGTAGTTGAAGTTGTCTTAAGATCAGTAGAGCCAACTCTTGTACCACGTGATGTTGAATGACTTGACGTCAATGACCTAGCCAGTATTATCGACAGGTCAAGCACCAATGTGAGTGGTTTGAAACAATGATGATGAGCCTTCAATGATGCGATCTCTTGTTGATTTTGCAGCCAATTTGTTGAAGATAATTGTTGGTAATATGAGGAACCTGTTGAGTTGACGACTGATGTAGTTTTTCGGAGTACAAGTGCCATGGAACTGTAGAAGTGTCCCAATCGGAGTCTGAATGTGAAAATCCATTGTTGAAGTTCTCAACGTTGAAGGTCAATTATTGAAGCTGCACGATGATGAAGATCAATAGTTTAAGTTCTTCAATGATACAGATTGATTGCTGAAGGTCCTCGATGATGATTATCGACCGTTGAAATTCTCCGATGTTGAAGATCGATTGATGAAGTTTTTCCACGATAATTTTTTCAAAATCTGATTACATCTGATTGCCAAAGATAAGAGCCATATGATGAAAATTGGTTGTTGAAGTTCGTCGATGTTGAAAGTCGATTGATGAACTTGCAGCCAGCTGGCTGAGACAGCGTCGTCGTCGTAGATCTGATCTACATGGCCCCGCCAGAGCCGTAAATTCCCTCAATGATGAACTCGCTGATAATTTTTCTCAGATGATGCTCAGTGACGTTGTTTTACCTCGGGAAAGAAACAATGTCTGAGGGCGGTATCATTTATCAAAATTGATGAAAGAAAAATGATACTTTACCTCTCGATCCAGTTGCTTCCTGCATTTCTGGGCTTGGGGGTGATGATTCGTAGCGTTGATTTTCTCTCGATGATGCGACGACATCTTGTTGATGATCTTCTCGAGAAATGAGTAGTGAATGATTCGTACCCAGGTAATTTAACCATGTGGGTGGTAGCTAAGACCACTTCCTTCCGATGAAATTGTTCATGTTGACTTTTCGAAAGTTGATGAGTAGTGCCAACTACGATGTAGTTCAAGTTACCCTCATAAGATAAATGGTCTCTATTTCGGCAATGATTTTTCCAAGGTTGAAGTTTCGATAAATTTCTCCGAGTTATATCGGCCTTAAGAACGTCCTTGTCAAGGTCTTCCCTGAGTTGAACTGCTATCCGTCGATCAGCCTGCTTTTGCTTGATGAATTTATCCATGTTAATGTTCCAAGGGATGATAAGCGGTGGGGACCATGCGGAGGTTGAGTCGAGGATGAATTTCTTTGATGATTTCTTCAAAGTTTGAATCTTTCGATAATTCTCCGAATTTTTGTTGAGTTGCCGTGCGTTGATAAGACACGGTACAATCGAGAAGATTTTGTAATCTTGGTGAATTGCTATTAAGACTTTCCCTCCCTTATCATTGAGTTTCTCCTTCATGTTGAGTTTCAATACATAATAACAGTGTAACGAGAGTAAGGATGACTCCCCGACTCACGCTGGTGAGTTTTACTTTCGATACGTGGGACAAATTGGCAATGGAAGAATCCAATGAGAGTCGAAATCCACCGAGTGTTGACCATTAATTAACTGCTAGCCGAGCACGATTTAAACAAACACTTTATTGAGACCACAACACTAATCCTTTAAGGAATTTGATTCCAGGGGATGTTCGTGTTGATATCCATATGCGATGTCTTGTGAACCCCGCATTTCCTCGCGGCACACAGAGCGTCTATCTAACACACGCGATGATTATCAGTATTGATTGATAAATACGTTGCTTGTCCCTAGCACTGAAATGCACTTTCACACTTGAGTTGGCCTCCATCCCATTCGGCTCGAAGGAACAATGTTGAAAATCTGTTGCGGTTCGTTGATTCCCAGGGTGGCAACGGAGGAGGAAAGGGCAGGTTTGGACTTATTTGTAAGACAAGTACACCGAGAATTTAGACCTGAGCCAAGTCAATTTATTCACAATAATTTAGATGGACTGAACAATAATAAATAGACGAACTATGGATGTACAAGTTGAATTTTCGTATCGATAATTGTCCTTGATAATTGTCTGGTAATGTGTGTGGAAAGACTTTCAACCTGAATTTTCACTGTTATGTTTTATTGATAATGATCAATAAATCACTGATGATTTTCCATTGATTTTGATAGCTAAATGACACGTTGAATTTAGTGTACAACTGATAACTCACTCGATGATTTTGCTACACAAATAATGAACTGTTTCGATGATTTACATGATGATTTTACTATAACTTTCGGATAATTCCGTCATAGTAAATCGAGACAATTTCCGGTGAATTACTGTCCACGAAGGACGATGAATAACTTTGTGTTATGCCTACAGAAGGCGATGATCGACTTGTTATGTCTACGACGGACGATGAGTGACTTGCTATGCCTACGGAACGCGCTGAGTGACTGCCCGTAAGTCGAGAAGAAATGATATATTTCGGCTGTTTTCAATGAGTTACGACTTGACCCGAATCATTGGGTTACATGTTGAAGCTAGTCCTTAACAGACCCACAATTTAGGCAGGATTTCGAACACAAAAAATTAATTACTTACCTGCTCGTACACGTAATCTGTTGGGTGCGAAACCCGGGCGGACCCGGAAACTTAACCCAATACTAAACAGGCGATCAAGAGAGCCTAATAAATCTACCCTACTCACATCAGCGTCCTTTTCAGAGGGAGGAAAAACGCATCTCACGGCAAAAAAAAAACTTCTTCGCAAATGTCTTGGGGTAAATATCTTCGCAAATAATTGGAAATGAAAATACGGTGATTTTTGATAAGATATTTTCTATCGTTCCACATTTTTTCTACAAAAAAAGTCTTCATCACAAAATCATCATTTTTCTATAATTCCTTGATATTTGCGGAGAAATAAAACGCGGTGAACTTTCCGTAAACGCCCCCTCTGCGCATGTACTGTGCGCCGTCACACGGAGAACAATTACCACTACTGTCCTGAGACCATAAACATACTATATCGTCGAATTAGTCTCATGCCAGTTCGGTTGGTAAAAATGTCCACGCCTAATTCATAGTGTCGCCGTACATAGTAAGGGTGCTTAAATTGAAAAAGATTATCTATCTGTCGGTGCGACTACAAAATAATCGTCCGCCACCTCGTGTTCCCCTTCACATTTCGCCAATTTTCATCAGATCGTAATGAAAGTAATTCAAAAAATTTTGATTTCAATTAAAAAATGAAGTAATAATGTAGAATTCTCCCTTGGCGTCTTTTTCTGGGAGTTATTCATTCTTTTGTACGTGGAAGAAATAAGAACAAGTGCAGGTATTCATCTCCATCATCCATCAAGTCTAGATGCTTGAAAATAGCGAGGGGAGAGGTAAGGGGGGTCAGAACCTCCATGCGGGCCTTAAATACGTTCTTACCTCACTGTTAGTAGGAATGGAGATTCCAAGTAAAGTGGAAATTAAAGGAGCGATGTCAGCCTGATTGATGTCTCTTTGTAAATTTGTTGGAGCAATTCCTGCTCCCCAGGCGACAAAAGGTGTTTCAGTTTCATCTTGGGATCCATCACCATGTGATCCCCAGTCTGTCATGCCATGGTCAGCGGTAAAAATGTAAGAAGTTGCGTTATCCTCAAAGAACGCTTCGCTTTGTCTCATTACTTCTGCGATTGCAGTGTCTACAAATGACATTTGTGATTCGTATTCTCTATAAAAAAAAAAGCATAGAAAACAAAATTGAATAAACGTAATTAGTTTATAAAGTACAGTCGGGAGATATGAGTGCAGATTTTCCTGTAACTATCATCAAAATGAGGGGCTTTGGAACAGTATGTGGCTTCTTTGCAGATTTTGATTATTCAACATTATGTATAACAGGGATCATCCAAGAAAATTTTAGAACGAGGTGAGTCGAATATGAATTTCATTAAGCAGGTAACTATGTGGGAAATGGATCACCGCGACAATACGTCCAAGAGGTTACTTTTCATAAAGGAATTTATTTAATATATTAACACTCCTGGAGTGTTCCTCTGAACTTGATTACTCGAGACGTTTGCACTCCAAAAAACAACCATCTTATTTGAAATTAAAAATCTTGTTAACTTGGAGCTGAGCTCAATAGCACACTGCGCGGGGACCGTGGAAAAATTATTATCATTATTTGATGTTTAATGTGATGTTTAATGATTCCGGCTGTTTAGAACAGAGTCCACAGTCTAACGGCCGCTATCTCTGCCAGGGACATTTCTGGGTAAGGGGTCTCCGCAGTACTTTCAGTGAAAATTAGGAAATGTGCTACAATAGGCAGAATTTGCGAGTATTATATTCAAGTAGTTCTTAATCCACGTTGACAGTCCCAAATATTATTTATCGTTTGGAATAAGAAACATGAAAATGAAAAAAATGCTTATACAATTTTCGAGGCCCAAAAACGACTCCAAGCCTGTATCGACAATGTACTGGACGTTTCAGCTCTACTTGTATCGCACTGTTTAAGTTTCAACTATACACTCTTAAAATTTCAGCATGTTTATCGTCTAAATAATTTTTATTATTGAAAAACCATGAACATTTGCATAAAAAATGGTTGGTTTGGTCAAAATGGTGGTAAGACTGAGCAACGCTGTGGCGAGGAATCGATGCGCATGCGCGATATTTAAGTGCGGGTAATTCGAAGACTTAGAACAGAATTTAGTTTTTATACAAACTAGAAAGAATTTTTCAATAGTTTTTTTTTCGAAATTACATTCATGTCCCATATACACAACCACGAGAATTTATGAATTCAATTTTTCCCTGACTTCTTCAAATAATTGTTCATTTTCATATAACATTCTTCAAGGTTTATTTTTTGAGATTTGTAATTGACTTTACTGTTTAATAATTCAATTACTACATCCTCTCCATCTCTTAGATAAGCATTCTTCAAGTCATCCAATCCAGTACCTCTCTCAGAAATTTTCTTTCTCAAGCACATTGTGATGATGTCGGATAGTGGAGAGACTATCCAAATTCCTCTTATTTACTTTTGAAGAATGATATCTTTGAAGTGCATCAGGTACAGTGGTGAGTTGGGACAGGAAATCCTCCAAGGTAAAAACCTTACATGCAAAGTGTCACAATAGAAGCACGTCATATGATGCATTGTGGGCATTTTGATCAAACACCTTCACCCATGGACCAGCCAGGGTCGTCAGAGTCAAATCGCCACTTTGCTTTATTTGCTTTATTTTTCATTTTATACCCTTGGAGAGTACAACTTAACCCAGTTACTACTGATTGGGATTCTGACAAGAGAGAATAATTCTCAATTGCATCTAATAATTGCGGACCATACAAAATTTAAGAGCCACATTTGAGAGCCTTGAGAGCCTCCCTCATTAATTTCAAGTTCACAACGCGATACAGACCTTAATAAGTTGGCTTATCATGCACTGATTCTCCAGGATCATCATCATCAAATCCATTTTTGCCACTGGCACATAGTCGTTTTCTTCGTCCTGAACCATTTTAACTTTTCTGCCTTTATTTTGCTTGCCAAACTTCACTTGAGCAATCAACGGATTTAAACGTTTTTTCTTGATAAATTTCCCCTTAAATCGGAGCGGTGAAGTGCCTTCTGAATCTTATATTCTCAACCATAATTATTTACTGCATTTCTTAATGAATACAACGCAATATTTGCTGGTGTTTACTACGAATTAATATAAACTTCATCTCATAACTCTATGGCCACATGACAGTGATGCTCAGGCAGAAGTTGTTTTTACCGACTGAATCAGTACTAATCCGTTGAAACTAAATCACATGGTTGCCAAGTCTGCATCTCTAATTTGTAAATTTTTTTATAATTATACGATTGATTTTCATCAATAAAATGACTTTCTTATGAATTCATGACTCCTAATGAAGGGGAAACAAATGCGCGATAGTTTTCATGGAATTATGAGGGTATTATTCACGTTATTTTTTTTTCTAGAATTTGCCGCCAACTGTCAGCTCATTTGATTTTTACCCCTCGGAACGGACTGCGGAGACCCCCTTAATGTGGAAGAAGAAAATGAGATGGAGGGAGAATTAAATTTCTTTTTTGATGCGTTTCAAGAAGTTACATAATAGATAGACGATTTTGTCACCTGGTGATTTTAACAATTTAATAAAGTTACGATCTTTGTTTTTCGCTTTATTCAGTACTTTCACAACAGAGGGATTCATGTTCCTGAGTGTACTTCGGACAAGACCCAAACACATGATTAAGTTCTTCTGGGGTTTTAAGCGGACATAAGCAGAGTGGAGAAGTTATTATTTTTTTGCTGGCTAAACTATAATTGAGGTTGTAGTGGTTCGCTCTCATTCTACATAGAGTAGAGATCTAGGGCCAAGAAAGAGATGAGTATTGGAACCATGGTTGTTTCCATCAATTATAAAACATTTTGAATCATTGAGGACCTTTTTTTTTGGTTTGGATTTTTAAGAATTTTACGTTAGCAATTTTCATGATTTGATTAGCTATTCTATAATAGTCAGTGTATGTGATTGAGGTATTTAGAACAGTATCACAACTGATTGCGTCTTTGGCTAAGGAGTCAGAATTTTCATTACCTTGGATCCTGACATGCGCTTCGATCTATATGGCTTGACTGATTTTACTTTGGGAGTAATCCAGTCAAATTAGACGCGAAAATTGCCTAACTGGGAAATAATTTCACCGGGGATGAAAAAATATTAATTCGATAGATGAAAATGTTCTGAATAACATATCAAAATGATCAAACATAGATCGGTGCAGAAAATACAGAAAAAAATTGAAAACGAACGATTTTTTTTTTGGTTAATGACAAAAACATTCGTAGTTTCGACCAAACTCAATGGATTGTAAAAAAAAACCAATTGTAGACGTGAAAATTCCACACAAAAATGATATGTGAAACGATGTTCTAAGATGAATTGTATTTTCGTAAAAAATGTCGGAAACCCCAATTAACCCCAATTTCGTGATACTTCCAGCATCTTTCCCGAGGCTCCGCTACTTTCGGCGTGCGCACGTGAATGAAAAGAGCGGTATGTGCAGATTCAAATCTACATGTAGGGCAGGGGGAGGAGGGTAGTACCGATCACCTAAGGAAAATGAGAAATTTTTCTAGTTTCCCTAATAAATAAAAAGAAATAAATTTTTGGAATAGGTTCTTCGAATTCGCCTGAAGAAACCGTAAAAAGGGATTTTTTTTTAAAAGCCCCGAAATTTAAAATAACCAATTTAATAAAAATCAACGATTGATCGGTACTGCCTCACAATGCGGGTTATACCGCTCGGCGTGCTTGTAGTACCGCTCGGGAGCTTGTAACACCGCTCGAGGTGAAGGTTACACCGCCCGCAAGATTATAATTCCATTCTAACAGGTTTTACTCACGTCTTGTAAATATTAATATTGAATTGAACGCAAAGACATACTTTATTTGAACATTTTCATAAATTTATAATAATTATTTTAAGTCAAAACAAGAATCTTTGAGATTTTCCTTTGGTTAAACAAATGTTAACGAACACACTAGATTGGATACATCACTATTAAACATTTGGTAAACTCCCAACGAACCATAGAATAATAAAAAATGAACTATATAAGTATTTTTGTTGAATTTGTTCTAAATTGTCAAAAAAAATAGACATTTCTTCTCTTGTGAACGCAGTGACACGGTTGATGCTGGTGTTCTCTGAATTACGTACTGAGAGAGTTGGATTTCTTCTCATAAATCCTTCGAACCAGGCACGTCCAGCTTTTCTCGTTTCAGAATTGAAATTGTGTGGGATTTTATGCCTCTCTGCAAAATCATAGGCCATGTGGCAAACCTGTTCACGAGTAACGCCATAGAACATTTTAGCTAGAGCCAAAATTTCTGCTGTCATCATGGACTTCTGTTCCTGCGTGAATATGGTATTTCGACCCATGGATGGTGTTTGAGTCATTCCATTTGTCCCTCAATGTGCTGAAAGGAATGTCGTATGTCTTTGAGGCTGTACGAAGTGACATTCTGTTGTTGACAGCCTCAATAGCCGTCTTCATTCCTTCTCCACTCCATTTTCTTTTAATTTTGGACTCTTGTCCTTTTTCTGGTGGCATCCTACGAAAATAAATATTAACCTAACCCTAAAACTGTACTACGAATATTTTCGTACCAGTGAATGGTTTTGGAGAATATGAGTACACAATGTGTTCATTGTATGTTTATTTTTTATTCTATCCATTCTATTTTATCATTCAATAACAATCAATTTTAATAAACTTACTTGATTGTTTGTCGAGCGCCTACTGCTTCATGCACCTCAACTGTCACTCGGTGACCGGTATTACCCACAGAGTGATCGGTATTAGCAGAATTTCGTGAGCGGAATTACCAACAAACGCGGAAAGTTCAATAAATATTAATAATTAATTAACCGAGGTATTTTTCACTATCAACGAACTGTCAAACGATTCATAAATGTATGACGAACTCATTCAATTAGTTTTCGTGTTATTCAAAAATATAAACTGACGAAAAACCTTAAATTTTGGGGGCAAATTCTTACATGGATCTCATCGGGAATCAAATGTAGCATTTTTCACTCACTTTCAACGATGAAAAATTCAAAATTCACATGAAAATAAGTTTTTCTCATGTAATTGTTCTATTAAGGGAAAAAAAATATTTTTTTCCTCAGCCAATCGTCCAAAACCAGGGTGAGCGGAATTACCCGCTGAGCGGTACTACCCCCCCTTTCCCCAAGGTAAATGTACCTATACTCGGCCCTGTCTCTACACTGAGAAAAAATTTTATTCCTTTCAAGAAAATGTTATTGGTGATATATTTTTCATACTCTGTGACGAGGCATATTCATTTATTTTTTATTATTTTTCTACATATTTTTTCCCCACTACACACTTCCCCCTAAAATGTAAATCCCGCCACCGTTGGATACCCCTTCCCTCACTTTTCCCCTCATCGCCCCTCTATCCCTGCCCCTGGACATCACGAAGACATCAGCCGAAGGAAGACATCAGTTCCGGCCCCACCCGATCAATTGGAGAAGCCAACACCTCCTGGAAATTCCCCACACTGGACCCCCGAATATTCAACACCTGCAATAATCCCCAGCGAGACATCCCTGGATTGTGGTCATCGTCACCACTCACCCGTGCTGATTGGCCCCGATTGCTCCCGAATTAAAATCCGAAGGACATCGACACCTGATGAACCCCCACGAATCGTGAAGGAAAAGAAGAGACCGTCACTCGTGCATTAGCTGCCTCGTGAGTCGTCACGTGCCCCGAAAGTAAATAGTGAATACAGTAGAATTCGCCCGGAAGTTATTTGGCGGATAAAAAAAGGACTTTTGATACATCGAGCTCATCCCAGCTCTAGTATTGGTGCCCAGGAAACCCCGAGGTGGAAAGGAGGCTCNAATTCCACGTGTTCGCCAGAGTGAAGTCCCATCGTGAGTACGAGTTACCCCCCTCATTTTCCCTCTTGTCCCTACAATATTACCCTTCTACCCCCCAACGGTGAGCCTACACTCTTTATTTCTTCCCCATTTAGTTATTCTTTTTATATTTAGTTGCATTCCCTCGACACGACTAGCTTCTCCTTTTTTTCTGCATTAGAGTCACTCCTCTTTTTACGTGTACAAAAGTTGCCTGGCCTTACCCATAACCCTAGATCCAAGTAAAAGGCATTTCAAACGTCTTACGACGATCTAATATGTAAATTAATAGAAATATAGATATTTAGTTAATTTTATCCCTCATTTGTCCTCATTATTTAATTGCCCTAAATCCCCCTTTTAGGAAATAATATTAATTAAATATTGAAAGGTCACAACTCTTAGTAGAAGAAAATATTTCTTTTGGAACGTATTTCTCCAGGCTAGTCATTTCCAGGTGCTCCGAAATCAGTTCCAAGCGTGAGAATTATGGTGATCTATAAGAATATTCTTCTGCATATGACCTCGAAGAAACTCCAATAATAATTATTAACATTTGGAATTATTCCAATTTTCTTTACCTGAGAAAATCGCCAATTTGTAAAATCCGGAAGATATCGGAGAACATTTTGTCAAGGTCATATGTAGCATAATAATCAGATTGTTCAATATCACTGTAATTTTTGAGGATAGACTTGGACTCTCTGAAAATGACTGTCCTGGAAAAATTCGTTCTGAAAAAATATTATCTTCTGACGAGAATATCAATCCTTGACAGGAATAATTTTTTCTCTCAGTGTATGCTCGTTCAGATGTCGTGAGCTATCATATTTTAATCATTTTTACAGTCCCAAGAGTCTTCCAAGTGTAAAATACGATTGGAGTTATTATTTTAGTTAATAAGGAAAGTTATAGGCACCAATAAACAGTGATTTATTGAAGAATAAGAGGCAAAAATCCCATTCACATCAAGTGGTGCTACGACAAATTGAATTATTAAGCCGCAAATTAAGAGTCTCACAATTTAAAAATGCTGATATCTCCGTT